AAATGATATGCATGTCTCTATGATAGTCATCCTAAATCTAACTACCCAATTACTTAACATGCAGGAGCAAAGAGTTGTTTACCTTTCCCTATCCATGTTGAAGGCTCACGTGTGTCAATTTTTGATGCCTTGTTATAGTATTGTGAAGCCGTAATGAAATGCTCTTCCTTTTCTCTTTGTTTTGTCTCTATTTTTCCTAGATAGCTATAATACGTTCCCAAAGCATTTAGAATGGCAATCCTCTCATATCTCAGCTCTGCAAAGTGTTTATCAATTTCTGCAGAACAATAACCTTTGTCAAAATTCCTTTTTATCATGTGAAAGAAATGTAAATAAGTCAACATTAATAGAATAATATATACCTGGACTAGACCCTTCTTCCAATATTTGTCGAAACTGTTCGAGTTTTCCTTGTTTGAAATACTCCCTCTTGGCTCAAAATAAATCCGTAAAAAATGGAAAAAAGATACAATTCAATATGAACGTGTCAGCAACTCACATTTGTACTAATTGCATAACCAACACTTACACTCGGCAAAGAAATAAAAATACAAGAGCAACATTTAGCATCTCGAGTCATTTTGCATATCACATGGCAATCCTCTCATAAGATAAGATAGAGGTTTTAAACCGCAATCACAAATTCGCTGAATTCCAACATGTAAGGAAATTACTTAAATGCACAAGCATGCACACGTCTCTTTTTTTCCCTACTCTTTCCTCAAAATAAATGCGTCGTTATTTCTCAAAAATCAGAATAATTAGAAACTCAAATACTGATTCTCCTGGAAACTCGTTAAGTAATGAAATGCACCAGTTTTCAATTCAAAAGCTAAGCCAACTTGATATGCGTGGTGTGAAGAATATTTTTTCTCACCCAATCATATATACATGTGAGTCACCACTATACATGCACATATATACACATAATATTTCCATGTAAACTCATTTAAACCATCAAGGAAACATAAAAATCAATTCAAAAAACTGACTTCATTCGCACTAAACTATATTTGTAACCCCAAAAAGCATTAATTTGCAAAATAAAAATGGCTTTTTTTTTGACAAAATAAAAAATGAAAAATGTTTATTGAAACATTTTCTTTCATACAAATATAAATCGAAAATGAAAAAGCAAAATTCAACTAAAAAGTACTCTCATCTCGTCAAAATCAATTATAAACAATGTCTTACATATGTCAACAGTTAAACCCTACACACACTTATATATATAAATGAACATACAGCGATGGTGAGCCAGAGACCAAGAGGAGCTTCCTCGGCCTTTAGAATGTCGAGGATGTCAGTGGCATCACAGGGTAACTGGTCCAGTGCCACCTGCACCACCTCTTTTGAGTTCTGGATCGGTATATATAAACACGCCATTGCTCAATTAACCAATAGACTGTTCAGTTCAATTATGAATTTTTAGATCCCCAATTGAAAGATAAAATTTGATAGTTCAATTGATAAAACCCTAGTACTCGAATTTATGCAATCTGGAGTTTTAAGCACATTTTTGACTACTGTTATTTCTACTTCTGCATGTGTCTCTCCTTTCTGCATGTGTCACTTGATTGGAGCACTTGTCAAGTAAATGATGTGAAGTGGGTAGGCCCACGGCCTTAGGCCCTTTTAAAGAAAAAAATTTAAAAAAGAGATTGTAAAAAACTATTCAGTTCTCTCTTTTTGTTCACTGGTAACCTATTTGAAACAAGCATGAATTCTAAGCACCTTCATAACTAAGATGTTCTCCTATTACAGATAAATGTTTTATATATTTATTCATTATTTTAACATTCAAGTTGTTTTTAGTGTACTACATTTTCGGAGTCAATTAATCGATCTTATCATCATATATATACGCTCATGTTACGCATGTACTCTAAACGGTGAAAAATTATATAATCGTTACTAATGCCTTGTTTTTCAAATATTTATTAAAACCATTCCCAAATCATTTTTAACCACAAGTTCTATGAGAACCGACTCTTTCCCATTTTTCAACAACACATTCTCGCAAAAAAAAAATTGTTCTTGGAAAAATCTGAGATAAACAAGTTTTAAATTTTCAATATTCAATCAATGTAGCCATTGTCTGATCTAAACCAAAGTTAATAATTAATTTTAACCATATATTTAATAGTATTCACAACTTCTCAATCACACATTTCATCACATTTTATCAAAATCTATTAAAAATCCGATTTTAATCCCCACCAAATGAAGGTTTAGTATGTTTTGGAAGTACGAGTGTGAGTGTGAGTGTGTGATAATGTAAGTGTTGAGAAATTTCAAAATGATGTTAATATTATTTCTTATGAATGTTGTTTTTATTTTGTTTTTATCTGCACTATATGTAGTTTCATATGTTATTCTTTGTGGAAAATTATTTGAAAAAGATTGAATTCCTATAGAAGAGATTGGAATTGTTTAGAGTAGATTGATATTACTTTTTAAGTTGTTAGAATAGACTAAGGGTCCGTTTGCTAGAGTTTTTATTTTTCTTATAATAGCTTCACGAGGAAGTCACACGATATCAGTTTTCTCTAAAAACTTTTCTAATAAGCTATTTCAGAAGTAGTTAACTTTTTAAAATTCTTTCCAAATGAAATCTAAAATTTGTATTCTCGACAAGTATGGGTTCTAGATTTTCGAGGTATCACAATCTAGGATTTGGACTTATATAGTGGTTCTAGACACAGTCTAGACTCTAGAGTATATCTAAAACAATATAGATTCACTTGAGATTGAAGTGCTGTCTGTGTTTATGTATTATTTATTTCCACAATAATGTTTTTGGTTTGTCGATGGTGCTTTAATGTTGTACAAATTATGTGTTGAAATGTGTATTTTCTAGTTTTAAGAAATAATTGGTTCACATTTTTTCGCTCTGTCAAAATAAGTATCCTCCTTTCAGATGGAGTTTCCACACTTGATAGAGATGTGAGAAAGTCACGTTAAAAGGTGTGATTAACACATGTTCTGTTGGTCCCCATATATTACACTTAGATATATGTATGTATGTTGCAAAGAATGTAGACAAAAATCCTAGTGGGTAAGTTGAAAGTAAGGCAACAAAAACAAAATGCACACGGTGAGACATACGTAAATACTTGGCCCCATTTGATCCTTATTCTCTAAAAATTAATTTTTTCTCAAATTCATTTTCCACCACATGATGTTCTTTCAATAAAATAATTTTTCATGTAAACCTAAAACTTTTTCATACCTTTTAACTACAAATTCTATAAAAAAATCGCTATTACAAAACTCATTTTAAAGTTGTGTCAATACATCCGTACATTAAATGGAACTTTCTATATATATGAGACGAGCAAAAAAATATATTAAGCAATATTTAGCTATTGTTTGATTTTGCTAAAATTCATATTTTTAATAGATCCTTACTCCTATATAAGAGACGATGAGGGCATTACTATTCATTTTTGGTACGCGTTCACACTTGTTCGGTTTTACACTGTTCATTATCCAGTTCCATAAAGCAGCCGACCTTTACCTTTACCTTGCCCTTTCCCCTTTCCCATTCCTCCGTCGAAGAAGAGTAGCTCCCGATTTCTACACACTTTTGAGTTTCAAAAGATCACTCTTTTCTTCTTCTAGCAACTTCCACTACTTGTATCACTATGATTTAAAGAAAATTCCTAATTTTTGGATTTAATCCTAAATTTCTCTCTCAGCTGAGACGAGCGAAAGCCCCCGACAGTTTCAATCGACTACTTCCGGCTTGCGATTAGTCTTTCTTCCTCTTCTACAGAAACTTTACAGCAATTTTACGGGTCCATATGTATCTGTATTTTATTTAATTTATGTACTTCATTTGATTGATTTTATTTCCAATTAAATTTCACTTTTTTCCAAGGATGAAATTACAATTTCTCGTGGTCAAAACTGTACAAGAAGGCTGGATCGTTTAGTTCTCTCACGAGTTTCTATACAAATTAGCATAATCATTTTTTTGTTGATTGAGGTAATAATTCATTTCATGTTTCCCTTTGGGTTGTAACAATTTTCTCGTTGAGCCCATTCTATCTCTTAAATGAAATCATAGAATGGCATATTTTTTCATCCTAAGTGATTTCTTTACTTCACAAAGTCGTTGGTTGTCAGTACCGTCCCCTTTCAAATTTGTTTATTTTTGTTAATTTCAAGCATACCTAATACCATTTAAACATGTTGCTTTACAATGATGTAGAATAATAACAGTGGATTAGTAACACAGTTAAAAGACATGCAACAAAGGAATGTGAAAATTGAATAAGCAAATAGGAAATTGACAGTGATTACTTATGTTTTCAGTTGGAAGAAATTCGACAAAAGAGAAGCAGAAATATTGAACCCCTTTATTTATGTTGATTGGATTAGAAAATAGTTTAGCTATTTGAAGTCCGTGGCTCTTAGAATATCTCTTGTCTCAGTCTAATGAACTAATATGTAGTACATATGAGTGAAAATATCAAATCAGGAGAATCGGACTATTTGAGGAGATCCTAAAGGTGTATAGTTGCAATGAAGCCCCCTTTTGACCTATTTAATTCGTTTTGTAAAAATATGGGTGACTTTTCTTGCCATCCTCCTCCGTATATGATCTCTCGTAATCTAAGCATTATGTCTTTCTAGACCATAATTTACTGCGACAGAATTTAGTGGATGTAATGATATTTGGAACAAGCATGCATTTAAGAACTGCTGGAGGACTGCCTGATGGAACCAACAAGAACGTCCCATTGCATGTCCACTTTGGCTTACTGATTCTTTGAGGATTGTATTCTACAAATGCAGGGAAGTCACTCAACCTAACACTTGTTTCATAGCTATTGTTTGTCCAGAGGCTTGACATATTTTATCCTTCGACAGGGTTGTGAAGTTTCAATAAAGGAGCTGGATACTCTGTTTTCTCTTCTGGCAGAGAAAAAGAGAAAATTGGAACAGGTAGAAGCAGAGAGAAACATGCAAGTTCTGCTAGAATTCTTACACAGCTTAAGGAAACAAAAAGTTAATAAACTCAACGAGGTTTGTAATAAACCAATGAAAGAGATCACGACTTCGAATTATGAACACTTGATTATGACATAGCTGTTTGAGATTTGTATATGATAATGCTTACACTTTCGTTTTTCTCTAAACTTATTTTTAAGTGGTTACTTGAGTTAAACTTTCAGACCCTCCTGTCTCTGTGGAACCACCATATTAGATGAGTAGTTCCTTCTATTAATTACATATGTAATTGCTGAGTGCAACATGGTTTCTAGGCTAGGTCTACTAAATTTATGCTGAGATTTTATATGAAAATTTTCCTCTTTATCTTATCGTGTCTTTTCTATTTCAGGTTCAAAGTCATCATTTCAAACAATTTTTTGCATCGGAGCTGGGTAAATACGACTATCAAGCCTTGTTTAAAAGGAAAACAGCCGAGGTTGGTTACAGCATCTATTGACTTGGCCTAAAATCTTTCTGTCATTTATGATGCTATTTTTTTAGCAGGTTTTCAGTGGAAAAATGAACACTTATCTTCTTCCGTTGAGATAGATTTTCACATGTCAAGAAATATGAGGTGACAAATTCGACTATATCCATTATGCTATTAACTCATTTATTATCATTTTAATCGAAGGCAATCCTGTGTGTAGGTTGAGTTTAACAAAGCCACACAATCTTTAACTGATGTTGTGGTTCCAACCGCTCAGAAGAAAACAGTCCAAATCGATTGGTCAAGTATTGCAATGAATGATTTTTTATTTTGGTTTGGACCTGAATCTATATTATAATTTGGCTCACTAATCTCGCTTACCTCAAACAGCTAAGAATTTTCTTGTTAAGCACTCTTCTTTCATATAGGATAATGTTGCACTAATTATAGTGCTGGAAGCCAAGTTCAGTAACAAGGGCGTTGATAATCCGGGGAAGACGCAACTTGTTTATGTGGTAAGAGATTCACTATAAATGTGCAACTGCCATATATTAATTAATTATTAACATGACTGGAAACATTTTTCCATAGCTTCCTTTTTCAGTACTTGTTTAATTCAGTCGGTGTCCTATCATATTTATTGGTGACTGGCAACATTTGTCCATAGCTTCCTTTAGATTAAATTGCTCATCTTTACTATTTATGTTGTAGAGATACTATAATTAGTTGGGCGAAGAAGAGACTGGTCGTGCTTTGTATAACATCCTGTGACGACAGAGGAGGTCAAACACATCTTGGCTGTAGGAGAAAAAATAGTTTTGAGTTATTTAGAGAGCTTGGTGGTATGACTTCTATTGTTGTTCGAATTGTTGTATTTTAGAGAATTTGATGTTGTATTTACTAATTTTCCCAAAATATTACAGGGTTCAGACAACGATGAACTTGCGGATGCTTC